AATTGTAAAAGAAAAAATTGACTGAGAAAAATTTTTTTATTTAATTATTTTTATTTTATAATTTAATATAATTTTAATTATAAAATAATTTTTTTATATTTTAAATGCTGGAGCGTCAGGGTTTTGGTTCAATGGTTTTCAAACTTTTTGAAAAAAAAATATTTTAGAGAACATATCTATGATGCTGCCCTCGATGCATGGTTTTCAGAGCAAGTGATGCTTCTTTGTAACTTGTCTTTGTCATATGTCATGAACAAAAAATATAAATTAAGATGATGTAACATACAGTTATAGGATTATTATTTCTTTTTAGTTTTGCCCATTTTATATTTAAGGGAAACAATAAATAAAGGGTAATTGACCTTACAAGGGGGATTGTTCCCATAAGAAGAATAATAAGGGAGTTTGTCTTCTTCTAACCAATATTCAATTATTTAAAGAAATCATATGAATCTACAATGAATCTTAAATTTTTATGTAGAATACATGTTTTTGACTTGAAGGAAAATGATATTTGAGACGGACCTAACAAGACCCAAAGAACAATACTAGTAAACCTCTACAGAGCTTGAATAAAACCAATACATATAAATTTAATACACAACTTTAAATCTGAATGACCAATAACTAACTTATTGATATCATATATCTATGTAGATATGTCTATTTACATCATAAATTATAAAAATTTAAAATTATGTCACATATAAAAAACTTTTAAATAGATAGATGAGATTTTATCATGTTAAATATGTAATTCTAGACCCCATAATAGATTAGTTGTCACATTGGAAGGAATAAGGTAAAAAAAATAAGATTTTATTTTTCAATTACTTTTTTGAGTCAAATTAGATCTGGTTTAACTAAAATTTAAGATGAGGTTTCAGTTATGGGTATAAGTTATCAGATAAGAGAACATGTAGCAAAATCTAGAAGAAAGTATGATCCTATCAATTGTTGAGGCATCCTATTACATCAAAAAACTGCCCATGATTTTTGTAACTGTAAAAAGTGGGAGTTGTAACTGAGGAAAAAGGAAACAAAAAGGAAATTTTGGATCACAGAACACACAACCAGTCTCTACACACAACCTGTAAATTTTCAGACTTTTAATTTCTTTGCAATCACTCACTTTTGCTTACAAATTTTGAATTTTAGCATAATTCCCAATAGATTTAGGTTGTTTTTCATCATTTTAGTAGCCAAATTAATTCATATATTCACTTCAGCAAATTTGTTTCATGTAATAAACTTCAAGCTTTTGATTTTCTATAAGGTACTGTTCCTTTTCTGATTGGTGTTAATTTAATATTTATAATAAATAACGTTTCTTCAAATGATTACTTATATAATGTTCACGCTTCTTTTCAATTTTGAGTATGTTAATTTAGTTCATGTTAGTGTTTGTTTTAATATTAATTAGGGTTAAGCTCTAATTCTGCAATCATTTAATTTCTATATCTATCTGTCGATAACAGTTTAATTTGACAATGAACATATTTAATTAAATTTCACTATATCTCTTTCTCTCGCAAGTTTACTTTAATTCGCATACTATTTAACTTATTTAGGATCTATTAACTTTGTTTTATAATAGTGTTTAAATCTTTAGAGTTATCCAATGCAAATTTAGTAACTCATTCTCAAGAAAACATCCCTTTCTCTTAGTCTCTTACAAATTATCTATAAGCACAAATTTTAATTTTAAACCAATGTTTTTCCCGTCATCGGCAAAGAAGTCAAACATGAGGAAAGAGAATTATTGAAAAAATCATTCTCTTTTTCTTTCAGCAAAATAAATGACACCGACATCCAAATTCTACACGTGCGAAGCTAGTAGAGAATTTTTGAGATAACAATATGACTCATTTTCACTTATTCTCAACGTATGTTTTCAATGTAAATTTCCATGACAACTTCTAAGTAAACTACTTGCCTCAAATAATAATCTTTTATCATGGGGTAACGCACATGTTGGCCCATTGGATGGATGAAATCTTTCCTACTTCTCGTCTCTTGACCAAAGCAGAACTTAACATAGGCTATGAAAATCTATAGATCCAAACAAGAATTCCCATGTTGATTATAACCATTTCTACCATAATAGCAGAAGCAAAACGAGAGTGACGAGGGAAACCTCAAGTGTCGTATTAACAAAGAAAGAATCATATACAAATTTTCACCTATAAACAGCCAGTAAAAATGAAAATAAGTACTTAGTACTCTCAAAATTGCTTTCTGCATTTGCCACTGTCTGCTCAATTGGAGACCACAAAGAGGTTAATAGATCACAACATCTCAGCAGGAAGCAGCAAGATAAATGAAAATGAAATATGGTCCAAAGCAATGTGATTGCTGATGACATATGGGTTTAGCCTGTAAAAATTCAACAGCTCCTGCTAGAGCAAGTACCACTATGCTGGACTATTGTTACAGGGGAAAGTCTACTTGGTTTTCCCTTTGCGATTCATTAGGTCGTGGTAGTATAGAAGCACACACATTGGTTGACCAAGGATGCAGAAAAAAAACCAGAAGATCATATTCCCCACCTGGACATTCATTAAAAGAAAAAAAAAAAGAGAAGCTATAGATCATATTGTGATGTCTGGTTGAACGAACATTAGCCAGAGTTAAACAATTAACTGAAGTTCTTTTTTCTTTTCTATTTTAGGAACACTTTTAACATTGACCTATTTTAAACTAATCAAAACGAATGAAAACTTCAAAGAATTTAAACAGAAATATTAATGTGAAATCATACCATTGAGTTTCTGAACTTATTTTGCAGAAAATTTGTGATCAAGACCAAGGGAACCTGATTCAAAAGTTGAAAAAGGAAAAAAATAAAGTGAAAGGAAAAAATTTAATAGATCTTGTTTTCACCAATCAGTTCTTGCTTCAGAATGGCAAATAAAAATGTTAAATAAAATACTGATTGAGTTTCTTTAAAAAAAAATTTAAATAAATACTCTAATCATTGATTTTCATTTTATATTGAGTAACTCAAGACAGCATATCTAAGAGAAGGGTCCGCTGACTTAGTGATGACAGAAATCTGAAAGCTTACCTGAAACATAATTCCAATAAATGCCCAAAATTTAAATATATGGCAAGGAACAGCAATGCACAACTGTCAATACAAGAAGCAACTATAAGCGCCAAAATAAACAGGATCAATGCAGCCATATATATATTATCAGAGATGAAGGAATTAAATAAAGCATGCATTGCAGAAAAAAACAAACTGTAACTTCATTATTAATTAGCTCGTTAGAATTCTATTCAAATTGTTTAAACAGGCTTCTCTGACTTAGAAAAAAAGAAAGCATGAACAGACACAAATACAGTCCTGCAAAGAATGACCTAGTTACTTCAGCATCAGATGTAGGAACATACATTTTTAAGACATTCTACCCTTAAACTATAAAAAAAAGACTTGATTCTTTATTTATTTTGATTTCTACAATGTAATGCCTTCCCTCCCACCCATGAAATGTTTTACCCTATTCTGCAAACCCATACAACCACAGGAAATGGTCCATGTTATCTCTTCTTTTTGTCCTGCTATTTCCTCTTATTCCTTGCAACATCAAATTTCCTCACCAATCACAACTCACAAGCTAAGTAGAGGATAGTATACACTCAAGATACTGGCTGCCAATAGAATCCCTCTAGCTTAATGACTGCATCTTAAATGTATGGAGATGAGATTTTGTTATTTGTTATTATAATCTACCAAGTAGTAACCTTTTGAATGTTCACATGAAAAGGCAATAGGCAAGTTGATGTGCCATAGCAAAGTTTAGCACATTCCCCAAGTGGTCAACCACAATGATGATGATAAGTTTAATAAAATTTATACCCTCTCTCCTCCACAGACAAAGGTAGACTGTAAAAGAGTGAAAATTCTAGAAGGGTAAACTGTCTATCTAAATGAAGGAAATAAAGAAACATACCTCATGGAATGCAGCAGAAACTAAGAAAGCAATAATAATGGCCACTCCCTATATAAAGCATACCAAAAAAAAAAAGGGGGAAAGAATTAAAAAATAGCAGGAACAAGGCCTCGATTATAAGAATGAATAAAACCATAAAACAGTAGCATGCTTGGTGACAGGCTGGCACTTATAATTTACCAAAACAGAAATCAAAGAGAAGTCTCATTGTAACAAAGTACTGCATGTACAGAAGGCAAGGGTTATTGAAATGGGACATCATGTGCACTAGTTCATATGTTGCAAAACATAGACTTAAGGACGATGTCAAAATGTTGGCTATTCAGACCTCATTGGTCAAAGTCTATTTCTTTTGTTTTTCTGAAATTTTAACAGCATACTCTGAGTCTCTGAAAGTTGGGAACTTAAGAAGAACAAAACATGGCCTGATTCCAAACATGCTGACAAAGGTAAATTTACCTTTGGTATCCCATTCCTTAGGCATGGAAAATAGATATGGCGAACCATCCATTTGTGGACAGGCTGCAATCAATGTAATTATATGAGTAATATGCTTTACAAACTTGTACCAAAAGGACTAATGTCAGAAAAAACAATGAGGACTTGGACATTTATTGATGAACAACATTAATAAGAGACCATGGTAAAGAGAAAAGGAGTAAATTTGAGTGAAGAAACATACCATATTCCACATTCTCCAATACTGATAATAGCCACACAACAGGAAAACCCATACAAAAAGCAAAGGTAATTTACAAGTTCAGGTCAGCAAAGGATAGTAAAATATAAAAACCAAGAAAATTTATGAGGATAAAGAACTTACCTCCTCGACAGTTTTTGCATTCCACCAATCTTTGTAGAACTCGCGATCTCCAAAACGAAGAAGCTCAGCAAGTATATTTAACCTATAGCAACCCAAGAGTCAGAGAGAGTGTCATATCAACATTGCATACTCACAAAACATTTCTCAGAACAGTGACCTCCAACCCAAAAGGCTAAAGAAGAAACCCAGAAAAGCAGGACAATATGGTTGTTGGCATTAATTGGGGCTTCTAGGTGGTTAGGAAAATTGTTCATTGTAAAATCACCATAGCTGTTGGCCAAAAAAAGAAGTTCACTATACTTCTTACATGCATTAATAGTTTCCAATATAATGAATGACACTAATTGACAAGTACAACTTAAAAGCAGCCAAACAAACTTGCCACAATAAAATGATTTTAAGTCATAAATTACATGAAAGAAAATTATGAAACAAGCTTGGAAATTATTGGAGAACTCCCTTTAAGGCTTAGTTTGGCTGTGCTGGGTTTTAACTGCAGTTGTAAGTTTTTTGGTCATTTAACATCTCAAAAATATAAAGAATCTATTTAATATTTATTTTAGTTAATATTTTATATATTTTTAAATAATAAAAAGACATAAAAACCAAAAACTAAAGCATCAAGAAGCATTCTCAAATGAAGCCAAAGTTAAAAAGCAAAAAGAAAAAGAGAGAACAAGAAAACAACCTCATTGCACTGAATCAAAGAAGTGCAGACGTACCAGAGGTGAAAAAGGCAGTAGAACATGCAGAGCCACACATATAAATTTGGAACTGAAAGCTTCAGAACTCTCTCTAAACCATATAAGAGGTTCCCTTTTAAAGGATGCTGGGAATTCTTAACAATAGGATTTATATACTGCAGAAATTGACAATAAAAACTCTGTTAGCATCACATGCCAAAATTATACAACTAAAAGATAAGAAGAAAAAAGGTAACAAAGCAACACTCACCTGTTCTATTATAAAACCCATAAGTCCAGTAAATATTATTAACTTGATAAATTGGCGAACCACCCAACCCTTCCGAACAGATGGTGTGCGAGGATAGTTCAACTACAATGGCAAATTCACCAGCATGAAAACAAGAAATTTCCAAGATCAGGTCATGATTTACAAAGAAATATGCCATTTGTAAATGATAGTTATGAACCATGCAGGTGAGCAATTGGCAAACAAAAGGAAGCAATGGATAAAAGTTTCCTTAGTAGGCCAAGTTTTACCAAAACCATTTGTGACACTTTCAAGCTATAATCATGAGCCAAATATACACAAGCATGACATTCACTATATCAAGACATCAAGGACATGAATGACCCACTCTACAACACCCAGAACAAAGAGAAAATGAAAGGGAAACAAACACAAAAAAGTAGAAGATTTTTGCAATTTCTCAATATCCAGTAAGATATATCTTGATGATTAAGAATGTGCCCTAAATCATATTAAAAGACATTAATGAAAATATCTGATGAGGAAGACCTAATCACTAGGTCATAATCCACAGTGCAATGCAGTTGAATGGCAGAGAAGGTACTCAAGAGGGAGTCAAGCTAGTATCCGACACTCCATGGTGCATTATGAGATGAGGAAGTCCTCAGTCTATCAAGGAAAAGACTACATCCATACCTGGTAACATAATGTCGGTGCCACCATGAAATATGCCAAACTCTTGAAGCTAACTTCGTACAAGCTATCTCCACCTCCCTAACAGCAATAGCAATCTCACTAAATAAATGGGAACTTACATGTAGTAAAAAAATCCACATAAGAAAGGAAGATGGTGGAGAGGGTTATTGTCCTTTTGCTATTCATTAGAATAGCAAAATACAGACAATGTTCACAAAATTATTGATGGCTGATGCCAACAAACATTTTATAAGTTTCACGGGCAGTTTTCTTAATTACAACATGCATTAATGTATTGTGCATATACCATTGATTCCATAGGATTTAATACAAGGAACCAGCCACATTTTTTTCAGTACAATTGAACAGTATCTGCATATTTCCTTCAATCTTTCACTATAATAGCAAGTTTTTTACAACTGCCACCCATAAAATTTCGAAGTTCATTTCACCATACCTTTTCAGCAGACTTTGCAAGTGCTCTCATATCATAGTTTGTATGAGCATATGATACCAATTTTAACCAGACGATGCAAGCAAACTGCATCAATGTAACACCAGATAAAACTGCAGAATCACACCTGTACAATTCAAATTATTGAATGGAATATGAATTCCCCACATATGGCGCTATTCTAATAAAAGTTAAAAATATAAAATAAAAATGAAGACGGCACAACCCTAGCACATACAGCAGAAAAACCTAAGCAAAAATGAGAATAAAGAGATAAAAGTTAGAAAGAAAATACTTCCTGCATGGTAGAACATGCAGCAAGTTTACTCCAGAAATAGCCTCTGTTAGTAGAATTGAATATAAATTGAATGGAGAAAAAAAAAATGAATCAACAACCTCTTAAATAAAACTTTTAAACCCTTGGCCCCTTCAGAATGGTCCGAATATTAAAAATCAATGTAACTGCAATTTGAGCAAAAATTCTTCCTAATCTTGAAGATTCACCCAACCAAATTCAGCGAACATTAAAGATACCCTAAATGTATATGATTCAAACTTGAATAGTGTCACAGAGAAGTGTATCATTTGAGTGGATGTGGTGATTTCTGGGTACATTATAATTTTTAAATCTGTTTATCTAACTCTTCAAAGATGGCAATTAATCTCTGTTTATTTATTCACTTTTTATATTTCAATTCATGCATTCTTCTTAGATGTTAATAAGCAACAATATGAAAACTAAAATTACAATAAAACATCAACAGTTGACCAAAGAACTTGAAATTTCTGGGCAAAAATATGTTTCTTTGGAAATACTGACGTTATAATTCCAGATAGAAAGTAGACTGGCTACATTTAACCACAACCTTGGAATGACATGTAAATTCAAATGATAACTTGCAAGCACAAAATGGGAAAATTACCTGAGAATCACGAAAACTGGATATAAAACTGCAGTCGTGGTTATGATTACATGAAGAAAAACAACAACCTGCAATATTAATCAGCATTAAGCTTTTCCCATGTTCAGCCATCCCAATATATATGTTAAACTAGCAGCAAACCCATCCTCTTGAAAGAATACACAGTTCTACTCAAATACAATCACACTGCTGAATCCAACTACCAGGACAACATTTTATTTTGTTATTTCCAATTCATTTTCATTAATACTTCCACAATAATCGAACTAGAACCACTTACAGGTTCGGATATACACTTGCACTGTGCCAGCTTTTCAACTAAAAAGGCTGTGAGAGGGAAAATTGGAAGACTAAGACTGCACCAGAACCACAATGCAGATATATTTTGTTAAAAAATAGATGAAATTACCAAAAATAAAACAAAAAGGGATGGACATGCCATAAGGAGCACATTGATTTGCAAATAAAAATCTACACATAAGATTTGGAAGTTACCAACACATAAGAAGGGGCCAATCTCTCAATGATGTTGGACTAAACCAAAACCCAGCTCTAATCAGCCAACCATACTGCAAAAACAATAAATGCATTTAATAACCATACAATGCAATAGATCCCAATCTTCGGCAGACTAACCATAGTACAGGGAGGGAAAATACCTTCATTAGATTTTCAATGATAAGCCGACTGTTCACAGCAACAAGCACCACTATACAGAGGTTGAAGAGACCTGCATGGCTCTGCAGTAAGGTCCAACAATTACAAACTATTTCCGATAATCTAATGATCACTAAATACTAATGCCTACTATAAAGAAAATCATCAATATGTTGCAGAAATCCACTAGTTTATCAAAGCAACAGCCAAAAGGTTCCAGAAAATATTGCATACCATATTTCTACAACAAAAAGTTCTTCCCTTTTGACCTCAAAATCGGGAGTAATTTCCATTAATTTGAAAAGCAGGTTTTGCTTAACCAACTTATCATTAGAATTACCGTAGAAATATAAATTAGTACAGCAAAGCCTGTAAGTTCCAAAATTCAAATGCATATAATTTACTTCGTGCACCAGCTCTAATTAAAACCAAGAAGAACACATAAATGCAAAAACACACTTTTACTCTATACACATGTATACCTGTTTGAAGATGGCATCAGAGCTTAAAGGACTCTCCTTAATCCTCCGATGAGCAGGAACAGAAGCCCGATACGTGAATATCACATCCGAACTCTGATTCTCCCCTTTAGACGTCACTCCATCGCTTCTCATAAAACTCGTCGACTCAACCCGATCCCTCACATCCAGAGACTCGCCATTCCCCGCACCATCCGGCTGGCGATCTCTGACAGCGCTCTCTCTCCTCCGCAACGAGTGACTAAGATCTGAGTCGATGCTTCCACTCGTCACAGTCCCCTCGCTCCCCACAATCTCCGGCGAGTCCGATACCGCCATGGGAAAATCAACCAAACAGCCTGTAAACGCACCTCAAGAAAATCAAATCGAGTGCGTGTCGGTTTCCACAAACTCTGAATCACAGAGCATGTGCCGGTGTTGAAGAGAAAACAGCGTGTTTTGGGGTTCCGTTTATGCAGAGGATGAGGAAAACAAATCAGCGAAGCGGACAGAGTGAGGAAAGGAGCGGATGAAATTAAAAAGAATTTTTTTTAAAAAAAAGAGAGAGAAAGAAAAAATCAGAAGGAATACGAAACTTCGCGAAGTGGCAGCGAAGGTGTGGAAAGGCGGGCGGTTTTTGGTGGAATTAAACAGGGGGAAGGAATGATGATGATGCAAAGCGGTGGGGGTGAAAAGTGAAAGACAAAACACAAAACACAGAACGAAGCTTGCTTTCATTCAACGGACGAGAAAATAAGAAGACATGGAACTTTGCAGGTTTTTTTTTCTTTTTTTTTTTTTTGGGTTTTTTACTTTTAAAATTTCTTCTTTTTTCAGAATTCTAAGAGGATGTGAAGTGTATCTACGCCTATTTTCTTAATCAAAGATTCGATTGTTTAGAGATGTTCGATGAAGATTTTCCATATATTTTTTAATCATACCATTCATACTATAAAGATAAGCTTCCATATAAAAAAACAAAAAGATAAAAATAAAGATAAGCCTATCTTTTGCCTTCAAAATTCATATAATAAATTTTTTTTTTTAAACAAAGTTACAAATATAGAAGAGAAACGAATCAAATTCCAACTTTCAGATTGGGGGAATACCTTTTATAAATTGATCTATTGTCGTTGGACCGTAAGGTCCAAGTGCAAAATTCATATAATAATTAAGTATATAAAAAAGTTATAAATTAATAAAAATTTTAGAGGGCAGTTGGGCCTTTGCTCTAAGTGTATTTCGCCTTTACAAAGTTAATGGTTTAATTTCGATCCAATGCAAATTTGTTCAAAAAATAAAATATAATAAAAACGTTAAAGGAATAAAATTCGAATATCACCTAACTAAATTAACATAGAAGATTTTAATAACACAGAAGTGATCACTAGAATGCAAGAACAGTCTTATGTATATTTAATATAATTATAAGTGGACATAATCACATTGATTGGTTAGAAGAAAACTCTTTCTTTATTTTTTTTAAACTTATTTTTTCATTTTTATTAGTCTTAATTAGATTTTTGAATTTTTTAGACTTAAATTTTATAAAAAAAAAATTTAACTTATTATATACATAATAATTAAATTTTTATCAAATAAAAGTATTTAACAAGGATCTTGTATAAGATAAAAAAATTTTAATTATTATTTATATAAATCTTAAATTTTGATTTAAAATTTATATTTAAAAAATTAAAAAATTAAACTAAATCTACTAAAAATTAATTAAAAATAATATTTTAATATTTTAATATTTTAATAAAATAAGGATAAGTCGACATTTTTGTTTTTATTTTTTTCCTAATAGTAAGCAGTCTTTTCCTCCAAAAACTTTCTCTATTCTAAACCTTTATTTTTTAAAAGTATTTTTCTTATCAAATTATACATTAAAAATACAGTTTGATAACTAAAATTATTAAAATATTTTTAATAAAATTTTTTAATATTTTTTCATTAAAAATAACTTAAAAATTTTAGTATTGAGACTATATTTTTAATGTATAATTCAAATTAAAATACATAAATCTCAACCTTTTAAATATGAGATTTAGTTAACATTTTTTTATCAACTTTTCTAATATCTATTTTTACTATATAAGTTTTACAATCCTAACAAAACTTAAACAATATTTCATTTCAAAACTGATGCAAAAGTCTCGAGAGTAAAAAGAAGAATATCGTAAGTCTTAACAGTTAAAAAAAATGTTAGTCATTAAATGACATGAAATTTATTAACTTTGTGAATTTTGATTGGCTAGGAATATGTATCCCAACAGAAGATTTATTCATCTAATGATAAGTTAAAGCCTTACAATCTTGAAGTTGTAAGTTCAAGCTATAGTTGTACAAGTTTATGTCTAGGTTTTTTCTAATTTTGTTGGTAATTTAGTGTTTTTTTTTTCTTGAATTACACAATCATCTCCTATCCATTTCGCTTGTATACTATATAACTTAAATTTAAAATTTTTTATTTTTATTAAAAAAATTATTATTAAATTATTTAAATCATTAATATAATTTAGTTTTATTTGTTACTGTTAATCTTGCACAATGAGGTGTTGTATTTTATTCATTGTGAAAAATGAATACAATCTATAGGTGATACCGTAAGAATATCATTTTCATTCATCGTATGGACTTGACTGTGATAATTTCTCCTTATTTTTGTTCCATTTAAATAGTGGATGATTTCTTTAAAAAAAAAAAAAAAAAACGAAAATTTACATAGTTTATGACTCAAACTCTCGATCTATAATTCCGAAGCAAAGACACCTTAGCTTGTTCTAAACTTCTAATATTGTGCTTGTGCAATGTATCTAAGATAACAATGTTATTGTGCTTGTGTTCTAATGGGCCTCAATGAAACAGGACAAGAGACCCTTTCGCTTTCGCTATTTTAATTAGGTTCGGTGGTTGTCCGATTAAGTCTAGTTGCATTTCACACCAACAAAACAAATTTAAATTTGTCGAAATCTGTGATCAGCAGTCTAATTAAACTTCGAAGGAAAAACACCTTAGTACCATGTAGAAGATGATGCAACTCATTTTTTTCCCAGAGCTTCTCAACAAATTTGGCCTCATTCTTACAATATTATATTGTATTGTGCGGAATTATAACTACATTGAGTTATAACTTTAATTTTTCTACCTTTTATTAATTTAAAATATATAAAGAATAAATAAAATTAAATAAAAATAATAAATTTACATTTACAATGTATTTGGCTTAAAAAATTTTCATATTATTATGGTACTAAATAAATAAATAAATAAAAACCTCACCCTTCTCTTTTCTTTCTTCCTTCTCTCCTCAAACCAAATACATATATTATTGCATTACAACATTACTAAACGAAAACAACATCAAAACCCAAAAACATCACTTTATATTGAAGATGACACCTTTCTAACTCTAATGGTAATGATCATACCGTTAACTTTATGGGTTATGATTAATGAAAAAAACAGGTTTTGATTGGACAGGTTTCGTCTGTGTTGAACCCTTAGGTAGGTCGTAGAGGGGCGTGACCATCTCGAGTTAAGGCTCAATGGCCGAATTCCGTGTGGAATCAGTTTGGGCGGTTACGTATGGGAGACGGAAATAATATCCCTTAATAACAAAGAACATACGTACCCTAGAATCTAGAAATTAAAGGTTGTTCCCTACTTAACAAAGCCTTCCGTTTTTTCATAACTAATTGTTATGGGAAGAGTTATCGAGAAAGTTTTTTTATATTATTTTTTATATAATTTTTATGTGTTATTAAATAAAAAGATGTATTTAATAATATGAATTTTATATGGTTTAAAAAAATAATCAATTTAATAATACGTTAAATTATATAAAAAAATGAGATAAAAAAATTATATAAAAATCAATCCCAATTGCTATACCTAATTCAAAGCATAGGACGGTTTTGTGGGGTCTTTCACTAATATATGGCAAATTGAGAGGACTAGTTCGTACAGTTTGTTATTAAAGTATAAAAAAATATTTGTTTAATTCATATAAATTAAGAGAATAAAAAATATATTTTTTAAATTAATTCATATAAATATATAAAAATTAATTATTGTTTTAATATTATAACATGTAAATAGTTTTAATAGATTAAATTAAAATTAAAATTTATCATTTTTATAATATAAATTAATTATAAAATATATATGTACAACATTTTTAATTTATATTTTAAGATAAGTATTAAGAAAAAAAAAAAGAGAAGTTGAAACTACCAGTGATTACTTCAGGGTATATATATGCTTCAGTCTTAGCAGTTAAGGTAAAGCCATAAATTTCTGAACATAAGTACCAATATTCAAGACCCATTGACCCAACAAAGCCGCAGTGGAGATAGAGACATAAATTTCTGGTAGGCTTACTGTTACTGTTTATAATGTTGAGGATATTACAAAGTTATAAGATATTATTTTTAAAAATATTAATTTAATTTAATTTAATTTAATTGATACAAATAATTAATAATTAATAATATTAATAAAAATAATTAATATTTATTAATTAATAAATTAATATATTTAAATATTTTTTATCTTAATTACATAATAAAAAATATTTATTTTTTATTTTTTAACGCACGCCATGCGACTCTCGAACCCAAAAAAAGATAGTTATTTAATTATTTAAGTTATTAAATTTAAATACTATTTTAAAACATTAATTACCTTAACATTATTGGCGGCGGTAATAGTCAAACCCCAGAATCTCTGTTCCATACGGCTTTAAAACAGGTTCAGAAAGAAATAAATGAGCTTTCGTCGGTTGTAATGTAACGTAACGTCCCTCTTGAAGATGTAGAATGGTCAAATGTGTGACGGAAGCTTCTATATATGCTGCTCAAATCATGCTAAAATAATAAATGCTCTAAACAAAGAAAGAGGAAGATGTTTTATACTGTATAATCACATATTTTCTAATTATTGATAAAAAAAAATCAGCTAAATATTAGAAGATTCCCCTCATTCATGGTTATACGCAAACAGCGCATTACTGTTGTGATAAAGAAAATCAAAAGATTATAAACAAGCATTGTAGCTTATTTATGGGAAAATTTGCACCAAATGGCCCAATAATGGTTTCTAAATCTTAACACTTAAATTTATTAATAAATAACTATCATCGTACAATTCAAGTTTAACTTTTAAATTTTGAGGTAATATCAAAGAAATTAATTTTTTTAAATGTATCAAATTATTATAAAAAGTGTATTTTTAAAATTATCTAGTAAAATATTAATCTCAAGAAATACAAAAATTAATGCAAAAACACTTTAATGGTTAAAAAGGAAAAAACAATGAGTTCTAGCTAGATTTCAAGATGCTAGTATTTGTATCACTTGATAACCTAATAATCAAATATCGTAAATTAGACAAAATCAGATATGATTAAGGCCACACAAATATTGTGATTTTTTTATAAACAGTTATGGTATTTGAAAAAGAACTAATTTATAAATTAATTTTAATTTATTAAATAATAAGTATTAATAATTTTATTATTTATCAATTAACGTATATAATTATTAGGAAAGATCGACAACGTTTGCTGGCAGCTCCTCAATAACCACACTGCAAGACTTCCGGATGTCATACGGCATTATTTCAACATCCCTAGTCAAAAAGTTGATGGCAACATCAATGTCGACGGCCTCATCTAATACAAACGTCTTGCTATGTGTGCCAACCACGAGTGTCGCTTAATGGCTTAATGGTCACAATCTTTTGAAAAGCATTGTGACATCTAAAAATATAAAATTTAAGTGTTGGCAATTTCAATTTTAATCTCTTAATTATATTAGTTTAAAAAAATATATATATATGTTGAAGTGATCAGGGCTAAGTGACTGCCTTAGAAACATGTCACATGGCCAGAAGTGCCCACACAACAAAACGAACCCACTTGACTATATCTGTTGGTCTTTCACGAACACTGGTTCCACCAACACGCGTATGTACCTTGATCAATCTGCTGAGCAAGCTCCCTAGCTGGTGCCATAACCAAAGCCAGGCATTCCAACAAATTATAATCAACCTGTTGCAGAATTGTAGAAACAGAGTGTTGTTCTCTTCCCTGCTTCAGATTGAGCTTTCTGAATCACATCAGGACCTGGTGGGGTTTTCAACCTGCAAAAGAAACATTCTACTATCAGCAAGTGACCATACTCCAGTTTGATTGGAGAAGAACACTATAGTGGCAAGAAACATGATAAGAATGTGGGTGTATGAAGCTTCTCACTGGCCAAAAGGGCAAGGAGCAGTTGCACGTGCATAGACTTCAATAGATATTGTAACAAAGAGGGTTATATGTTTTGTGTAAAATGGTTTGCAGCTGGTATTGTTCCAAGGATTCCTCAAAGATCTCTCCCTTTTTAACCTTGTTTTCTTTGTTTTCTGGTTGAAATTGAAGAAGAGTATAATTGAATTAGGGAAATCAAATGATAGAATAGAGGGTTTTTGAATGCAGAGAAATAGGGGCAAATCAGAGAAGAAAAGGGGATGAGGTTATTGGTGTGAATATGAAGAATACAAAGAAGGAATTCATGTTAGGGGTTTTGTGAAAATCTAGAAAGTGGAAACATGGGAAAGTTGAAGACAAGCAAAATTGGGATTATATGCTTTTAATTTGAAACGGTACCGTTTTAATAATTCATTTTGACAAAAAATTGATACTATTGGCCGAGATCTAGTTTCTCCATATGTGCTTGTGGTAAATAGTATGTGGGATAATGGGTTTAGAGTACCCTTGTACTCTAATAATAAAAATTGAATTTGCTTTTCAAAAACCAAAACCAAATCATGCATATACCATGATGTGTCCATATATGTGTATGAATCATATGCTTTTGAGCCTTTGAGCTGATCCGGCCGTAGTCCAATCTGTCGAGAAATGATACTAGAATTGAAGGTGATTTGGCCTTGGGCCGCATGTGAGCGTGTGGGATTGTCATGGAATTGCTTGAGTTACCATGATTTGAATAAGCTGGATTCTATATGTAGGTGCAAAATGATGCTAAAATCCCAAACACAAGTAATTGCGCATGGGCATTTAGAATGACATCATTGACATGGTTATTCGGTTACGTTACAAATTTTCACATACACCTGGAGACTTATAAATTTATGATAACATAGAAGGCATAAATTTACATACCACATCACAAGTCAACCAGCAGAGTTAGTCATACTGAAAACTTCATAAGGCATCAATATAGAGAAAGGATGAGGACAAACCACAAAATGGGAAACAAAAGGGGGAGAAACAATAATGCAGATAAATATCATAAGGTGATTCAAATGCTAGCTACTTGTTAAGAATCTGCATGAAAAATTAGTTTTCACTGAGCCATGCTTTACAAATTTGACCGAAATATAAATATAGTTAGTTATTCGAAGAGCAAATGGATGGAGCTCCTCAAGTTTAACGATAAACAAAAATGTCTTACTAAAAAGGTGATATGATGTATCTTACGAGGCATGATGAATCACTTGTGTTGGATTCAGTCACCAAGTCAAGTACTGGCTTCAAATGATTTCCTGAAAGACATAAAAAGAAATGAAAGATTAAACACAACATGCATTAATATTGTTCAAAAATCAGAGGATCCGCTTTAGAATGACTTGGCATGAAGGTAGACATCCAAAATCAATGTGCACGTTGGACATGCCTGTCAAATAAGACCAATTATTATTATTATTATTATTTTTACAAATTCTTTAATATTTAGAAGTCACATTAAGTTTCAACTAATTTAGAATTAAATCGATTAAGATTCCATAAGAAGAAGTTTTTTCAATGTTTGTTTTCTATTCACAAAACTTAAACTTCAGATTTTATTTAAAGGGAATCAAATTTTTTTCTACTTTGACTAATAGATTGTTGGTTAAAACTAATTATTATAAATAACAACAAATGTAAAGACATAAACTAAGCTTTTTATCAACAACTAGGGTGAACTTGGTACGAGCCTAACCAAGTTGTTCTTGAAAACCTAGAGCTACATGCAATTATTTATCTCTGCTCCCTTCACACAAAGAAACCGATATTCCTTATAACATTGTGGATATAAATTATAAAGTGGATTCTATGAAGACAAGCACCTATGATGAAAAAAAATAAACACATCTAAGGGGGAGAAACAATCATTTATTATCTTTTTGAGTAAACAATATGCAAACAACTTTTTTATATAACTTTTACAACTTTCATATGTTATGAATATATTTACACAATATCATTAGTCAAATAGAATAAAAAGAGCTAATTATTAAATAATATATAAGATAGTATAAAAGAGTTGTACAATAAAAACAAAAATAATATAGTTACAATATTGTGTGGTATTATAAGCAACATGATATGTTCTTATATAAATTATTTCTTTCACTTAAAAAATCCACTTACAAATTACAATATTATATATATTTACTTATTTAATGAAATATTATACTTATTTAATAATATATCATGATTGTAAGATTATAATTTTATATGATATTATAATTATAATATTACTACGAATAAAAATTGACTCAATCTTTTTATTTTTTTAAGAATATGGACAGAAATAATTAAAAACTTTTAGCAGACCCACAAAATTGGTTTTTGAGAGGGGAGATGTAATTGCAATTTCATAAACATAGGGGGAGAAACCTGATAAATATTAACAACTCGGGTAATTTTATGAAAATCCAGAAGAGCAAAGGCACACCCACATCGAAAAATTCGTCCCTTTCGTTGGTTAAACGCTAACCCCCTTCCTACTCCCCCAAAGCGGTCGGCATCGCCAAAGCCGCGCTCTCTGAAAACCCTTATTTCCCCATTCCACAATCAGCATTCCCCACCTCTTCTAATCGAATCAAAATCAATTTCTCCGCTGCTGTGTTCTTGGAAGAATGAATTGTTTTTTTCCTAGAAATCTATCGACGTTGGAAGCTTCGAATCCATGAAGTTCTGATCACTGAAGCGAGTAAGTTGCGTATTTCCCTACTTGTTTATCTTAACCTTATAGATCTTTTTATCTCACTACACGTTTAAGTTTATTCATGCCGATTTCTGTACTTCTTGGCAAATTCAGGGTTTTGTATTAGAAATTCTATAGTTCAAGCTTTCTATTTTTAACTTCAGGAATTGCTTGATTTCTTTATGCAGCTAATTTGTTTCTCTGCTCCATGTTTTTACGAATATTGTATGTTCCAGGTTCCGATTAGGTTATTTGGGGACTATTGTTGTTGGGTTTCATAGATGTCTAAATTGAGTGGTAATAATTCTCCACCTGGGTCTCCCAGAGAAAACCCAGATCAGAATTCTGAGTCAAATTTACTGCCTAAGGATGACAGTGCACTTGAGAGCGTGGTTAGAAGGCTCCAGGACTCAATGTCTGTAGGGAAGAGGCACACGTTCTGGGAAACGCAGCCTGTTGGGCAATTTAAGGATGTTGGGAATACTAGTCTACCTGAGGGGCCGATTGAGGCGCCGGTCCCGCTATCGGAAGTTAAGCAGGAGCCTTATAATCTTCCTAGTGCATATGAATGGACCACTTGTGATATGGATTCGGAAGAGATTTGCAATGAGGTTTACAGTCTTTTGAAGAACAATTATGTTGAGGATGAGGAGAACATGTTTAGGTTCAACTATTCGAAGGAGTTTCTTAGGTGGGCTCTGCGCCCTCCAGGTTATTACAGAAGCTGGCACATTGGTGTTCGTGCTAAAACTTCAAAGAAGCTTGTTGCTTTCATCACTGGTATTCCTGCAAGAATAAGGGTGCGTGATGAGATTGTGAAAATGGCAGAGATTAATTTCTTGTGTGTTCATAAGAAGCTTAGATCAAAGAGACTTGCACCTGTGATGATTAAGGAGGTCACTAGGAGAGTTCATCTGGAAGACATTTGGCAGGCAGCTTACACAGCTGGAGTGATTCTTCCAACTCCAATTACCACTTCCCAGTATTGGCATAGGTCTCTGAACCCGAAGAAGCTTATTGATGTTGGGTTTTCAAGGCTTGGTGCAAGGATGACAATGAGTAGAACCATAAAACTTTACAAGTTGTCTGACTCACCAGCGACACCTGGATTCAGAAAGATGGAGCTTCGCGATGTCCCTGCTGTTACTCGATTGCTCAGAAACTACCAGCACCAGTTTGCTGTTGCTCCAGATTTTGATGAGAATGATGTAGAGCACTGGCTTCTTCCTACTGAGAGTGTGGTGGATAGTTATGTGGTTGACACCCCAGAGACTCATGAGATAACTGATTTCTGCAGCTTTTACACTCTTCCTTCCACTATCCTTGGCAACCCAAACCACTCAATCCTGAAAGCTGCCTACTCTTACTATAATGTATCCACTAAAACTCCATTGCTTCAGTTGATGAATGATGCACTCATTGTTGCCAAGCAGAAGGATTTTGACGTTTTTAATGCACTGGATGTCATGCATAATGACACTTTTCTGAAAGAGTTGAAATTTGGACCGGGAGATGGGCAGCTTCACTACTATCTTTATAACTATCGGCTACGACAGGCCTTGCGACCTTCAGAAGTCAGTCTTGTACTGTTATAGTTTGATATTGTCTCAGATTTGGTTCCATGGGTTTGTTTTCTGAAAACATATGAGCTGGGTCATATATTTTACTCCTTTGAATCAGCTGTCAAGGATCAGATTTTGCAGTGATTCTGAGGACAACCTTTGTGTGTTTTTCTGAGCTTTTAAATAGCTTAGGCAAACTGTTGTGAACACAGATTGTTCCACTGGACACATATAGTTTTGAGATTTAATGTGGTTTCTTCCGCAGTTTTTATAATGTCATCTTTTCTACCGTCTTTGCTATCTTGCATAAATATGCAGCTTAAGCTTAACTGTGCTGTAGGCAGCATTTTGAGACGTGTTTTTTGTTTTCAAACAGATACTGTTTAGAGCTTCTTACTTTTATGAGTTTTTGCTATTTGACCTGCTAGTTGCTACATACAGTCTCTAAACATCTTGTTCAATCTTTTTTGTTATTGCTTGTCTTCCCATTTAACTCCTTTTAGGTTAAACAAAGAATTGCCCGAATTTATCGAGCAATTACCAAACCATATTGTTAACATTAATGATGAATGGAAGATTAGAGTTGTGATCCATGTTTTACAAATTACCGGTTAATAATTGATAGCTGCTTTTGATTCATGAATGATTTCGTTGTACCCTTACTTGGTTTGAGGAAACAGATCGGAATATTGGGGGAGACGGGGAGGGATGCAAGGATTAATTTTTTTTTTTCTTTTTTCCATTTTCTTCTCCTTTCATTCTTTTATTTGATTAGACAAAAATATAAAAAAATAAAAGCAAACTAAAAAAAATTTTCTTCCCTTCTCTCAAATTTTTTATTAACCAAGTAAAGAATTTTGTTTTTCTCCCATCCTCTTAAATCCAACGAGTTATTAGGGTTGGTTGCACAAATATTTCCATCTCTATGTTATGATACGATCAAGGTTCCGCACTTTGTTAACCACGACCATCACTTCTCCATATGCTCACCACACATGAACATCATGGTTCTGTAATTATTGCTCTTTTCCCTTTTGTTTTTTTTTTTTCAATTTGGCAATGTTGTTTGTACCTATATTCGTCATCCATACCTAGTACCAATTTTCATAATATATAATTCTTCCCCACTCGTTTCAAGAGTTTACTTCACACTTTGACTCCTGGCTCGCTGGCCATTACTACTTACTGCTCTCATAAACGTGGTCGTTTTTAATGTTTCATGTTGTGGATAAAACGATGTCGTAGCGATGCACGTGATCAGCCAATCTCTTTTCCCTACGTGCCAAATTAGCGAGGGGCAGCTGAACATCAGGTCAGCACATTAAAGGAGGAGAAAAACTCCTTGGCAGCAGCTAGGTTGCAACTCCCCCATACCACCCCAGTCAGTCATGCCCTCATCCACTAATACAGTAACATATTAATAAATGTGGCTCCCATTCTCAATTAAATGGTCAATAAATTGTAATAGACATATCATTTTAATTGTAAGTGGAGAACCACACATACTGATATATTGTTATATTAATGGATAAAAATGTTGTTAATGTAGTATATATTTCCATTGAATGGGAGAATTTTTCCAACCCCATCATATATACTTTGTTCCTGATAAAAATTATTGGGATCAGCCTTCTAAGTCTAGGTATTGATTATACTGATGTGAGGTAGATAAAAGCAGAGAATTACCTTTTTGTTCTATAGAAAAATCAATTATGAGCTGAACAGTATATATCAACTTTAATTAATCAGTTCTTAAGTATATTTAATATCTTAATAATTATCAAGGTTTAGGGTATGGCATTGTCATGCTAAAGATTTTCCATCCCTTACGCCCCTAAATTGTACCTGTTTAAAAAAAAAAAATTATGGGCTGAACATGTCAGGAGTTGCTCCGTTGTTGTGGTTTCTGACAGATAATTATCGCTGAATTTCATTTCCTGTTTACAGGACATGGTTATCAGACCAAAATAATGTCTTTTGCTGTTAATTCCTAGCTAGTTTCTTGACAAGACAACCTTTTCTTGAGTTTCAAATGTGAGAACAATTAACCTTTTGCTGTATCTCGAATCCTGGAAGACACCAGAAAGAAGAATCTTTGCAAAGGATGGCTAGGTCCATAATGTTCTGATTTCTGACGTTTGATATGAACTGTATCCTAGAAGGGGACATTCCATATTAAATGATAGGGGGGGAAAAAAAAAACAAAATTAGAAAATCTCAGTTGCATTGCTTCTTCCTATGTGCCCTAGAATAGTATGTATATGTAATTAAAGCCCACAGTTTCCCATGTTCTTGATGATACAATTAATGATCCCATGTTCTAGGTAAATGCCAATATGAGAATTATTGTCATTGGCAGGGATGGATCTTTGTCAGACCTCAAGGCTAGATTGTTCCAAATCCACTTTAGTATGAATGGAATGTTGATTGCCTTGATTTTTGGCTTTTTAGCCCACAAACCCCCAAGTGAAACAAGAATCCTCAAAGCTTTCTAGATGCTTTTTCCAACAATTGGATTAACTTAATCCAGTGGGATTCCCTTTGTTAGGCACCCTAGGATTTGCAATCCACGTAAGAATTATTAGGTTTACATGTAAGTTGCAATTATTTTCTATCACAAATATGTGATTAAAATATAACAAAATGACAAAAAGAAGGGGTGAACCCCTATGAATTTGATAGCTAACTTGGTCTTTTGGGTTCAAACTGTGTTTTATATATTAATTGAGTTGTTGTCTATCTAGTCTCTTCACAAAAAAAAACTCTTTCTACAATCTATCACTTCCAAAGGGTTTTTTTTGTTCCTTTTGGCCAATCCACTTCCAACAGTTAATTTGAATGATTCGAAGGTTTTGCGTTCAAATCTGAGTTATTAAATTTCATTTTCCAAAGCAAAGAATGACAGTGAGAGGGGGAATGTTTTGCATTCAACGATTAGCATATATGAGCAAATTCTGTGGTTCTTACAACAGTATGCAGCCTTTTGATTAATTAACATAAAGAACAAATACTTTTATGCCACTTTTCCTCAAAATATACATTATATTGTTTGATTAGTTAGATTTTGTCCATCTAGCATTGGTTTATCCCATTGAGAAGAATGCAACTAAAATTCTACTTTTCCTAAATTATGCTCTTTAATTTAATATCTTGCTTAACAAGGACAGCCATTACTGAACAATATATTCCTTAACTTGTGGTTCAACAATATCTTAGCACGAGTTAGAAGCCTCATTGGCTTACTTTAACTCATCGAATTAAGTGATATTCGAACTAATTACTATGTTAAGTACGTAATCATCATTCATTGAAAAAAAAAATTATGTTATCTTTGCAAAGATAGAAAAATGAAAAATAACCCCTCGTAATTTAGAATCTCATTGACATATTTTCAAAGAGATACATTAAATATTGAGCAAAAGAGATAAAGGCAAGGAATATAATGCAATTTAAAGTTGAAGTATATATAAAGTAAAATATGCTTGCATTTAGGGTGCATATCTCCTAAATACATTGAGCGTTTGTCATTCGGAGCATGTGGACATAATATATATTTATATGACATACATGCATGTTATTTAGAGTTTAAGAGAGAACTTAAACTTTGCTCAAATTTGTAATTAATACTATTTAGAATAGTTTTCACGGTCTATCATGTATTTAAAAACATTTGTTTTGAGTTTTGAGTTGATATGTTTTTGCTTTTAGTACTTTAAACAGATGTTTTAAATGTAAGACAGACTGAAAAACAAACATATGATAACCGATAATATAATAAGTTATATATGGGTGAATATTGCGAATGAGTGACGGAAGTATATATTCTGATTACCTAATGTGTGTAGTGCCAATGTTTTTGATCCTTTTAAGTTCTCTTCTTCTATAAAAACCCTAAGAAACTTATCATTTCTCAAGGCAGTAGCTATCAATACAAACAAAGCTTATTCAAAGCATCAAAGCTAGCTTCTTACAGCTGCTTTAGTTGCCGGTGAAGCTTTGGTAACATCTAAGGCATGCATGCAGGGTTGGGAGAGGGCGGTGACAGAAGAGAGTGAGCACATGTTGTACTCTAGCATGAAAAATATATCTAGTGCTCGATGCGATAAGTGTGCTCACTCTCTCTGTCGCCCACCTCTCTCTCTCTCTCTCAATCTCAGCTTGGTTGATCAAGTTTCTTAACTTATGAAGCTAAGTTAATTTGTTTTGCTCTTGTTTTTTCGTTACTTACCCTTCAAGTAATTAATTTAAGAATTCTCGATTTTGTTATTAGATTTCTAGGCCTAACCTTCCATTACATGTGACTCATGATTCAGGGGACTAAACTTATAAAGCTAGGTCCACATGTTGGCTTGGTTTGTTCTCTTTTCTATTGTTGTTTTCTTCAGATCACATATTGCTATTATTATGCTTATAAGAATTTGTAAGTAGATACTATAAATTTGGCTTTTATGAGCATTAGCATTGTTTTTAAAATGGTTTTAAAATTTCCAAATTATATGATTGTGAATAGCTGCCACGTTCATACATTATCATCCTCATCATCACAATAATTAGAGTCTTTGTATAAATAAAGACACAATTTTATTAATTAAGAATATGATCTTTCTTTTCTTTTCTTTTTTTTATTAATCAAGACTACAATATTTCAAAAGTTTTTAATTAATGAGACTTTTGCTATTTTACTAAACAATGATTAAGTAGATGTGCACATTGACATGTCTAAAATGATTTTCACATAATCCTTCTTTAATAAAATTGCAAAGGTCATTTCATTAGTTAGTTAAAAATTTTTGAAGAGTAATATACTTAATTAGTAAAAAAAATTATATCCTCATCAATTAATAAAAATTTGAAAAATTATATCTTTATTTATATGAAATCTTATCACAATTATAAATAGATTGCACTTCACAATTATTTTTAAGGACCATGATTGGTGTACACTCGGATTCAACACCCGGGTGTGCACACTCTACATAAAAAAAAAAAAAAAAAAGAACACCCAGTTCATTTTTTTTTTTATGCAGAGTGTGCACACCCGGGTGTTGAATCCAGGTGTGCACACATCATTTTCTTATTTTTAAATATATATATAAATATATATATTCCATTTTTTTTTCCGAAAGGCCTTTATTTTATTTTATTTTTTTCTGAAAGGCAACGAGAAATTTAATTGCAAGGGTACAAGTACGTAGTTCACCTATTTCTGCATCAGCTGTTTATGACAGATCATTTTCCAGCTATCTAATTACATCATGTAACAGGTTTGAGAAATTAGAAGAAAATATTTGTATTGCTCAATCTTCATCTTTACAGTATATAGGCAAACATATGTATATATACAAAGAGATTGTTACCCTAAATCATGTATGAGGAAAGTTATATAAT